CCGGCTCGTTTGGAGCGTTCGTCCGTTCCTCCTTCCATCCTCCGCGGCTTCCTTTACCTCCCGGTCGCCCCCCCCCCTCCCCCGCCCTCGCCCCGCCCCTCCTTGAAGACGCCTCCGCCACGCCCACCGGTCCAGTTCGCCCTCGCCCTCCTCCCCACGCTCGGGGCAGCAGGGTGGGCGGGCTCTGGGCGCGAGGGGGAAAACGAGGGAGGAGGAGAGGAAGGAGGAGGATGGAGGCGGGAGGGATGGGGGGGGAGGAGGGGGACCTAATCTGGCGTTCATCGTCCATGGTGCCGTCGACCATGTGCTGCTGCCGAGAAGGTTTCTAACCATTTTAGGATAAACGGTCAACACGAGCAGGAATGCAAGAGCGGAATTGCAGGCTGGACTGGAAAGGGGCCCAGGAACATTCTCAATGTTATTGTCGTTGATAGCTAAGACATGTTCGTCTGAGACTAAGCGTTTCCATCTCTCTGATGGCACCGTACCAAGCATGTTACATGGTGCAATGGACTGTCAGAGCGAATCAACATAGCGGAAGCTACAGAACACGCAACCATTTGACAACAGCGCTTAACGTGTCTTCTTGGGCCGAAGTTTTCTTGCAATCGAAATGGCGCTGGACGTAGTGCGAGCAGAAATGTGGGCTTGAAGGACAACGTCATGGAGAGACGATGCCTGGTGGAAAACGCAGTCTAACCGTATTGTGATCTGCCCGACCCGACCACGACCAGGGTGTCTCGTCAGAGGAGCCGTGGTTTCGCACATGTGCGGGGTGCGCGCGAACGACGGGGAAAACGCAATGCGCATGAGGGAGCTGAATCTCGGAGTCCTACATGTTGCCACCAACACCAATATGGGCAGTGTGCCTCGACCATGGGAAGATGATCCCGATCTCGGTGATGGAGGTACTTTTCGGGCTTCCTAGGTGGCCGAAGTAAGACCACCGACACCAGCATCTAGGATCATCATCTCCTGGTGGAGTCTTGGTGTTGATGTCCGTTTCCAAGCCTCCAAGGATCCTGCAGATCTTGTGCACGAGCCCCCCCCTCCAGTGCACCGCGCGCCGGCGTCGGTGGGCCTGCCTCTCGCGCGGGCCGTGGGCCGTCGGCTTTCTCACTGGCGACGACGACGACGACGACGACAGTGCTCTTTGGGCTCACTTCGGCCACGCGCAGAGGGGGGTAGGGGGAGGGGGAAGGCTTCTTAGAAGCACCCCTGCTTCTTAGAAGGCGCGGTCCTTATGTATAGATGTAAGGCCGCCGCCTTCTACGATGCAGCCCCCTTCTAAGAAGCCTTCCCCCCTCCCTCCACCCCCTTCTGCGCGCCGCCAATCACTTGTGCCTCTTGGGTGCCTCTTGGGGGCTCCTTGGGCGCCTCGTGGGGCGGACGGCGCGACCTATCGGTCAATTCCCCCCCTCCCTTGGGAGGCGCTCGGCAGGATATGGGCGCGCGGGCCTCCTCTCGGCAGGCGGGCGGGCGACGGCGGGCCGTGGGCCGTCGCCGGCCGCCCGCACTCCGCTCAGCCGAGGCATCTCGGGAGGGGAAAAAACACACGGACACAGTCCATCGTCCACTCCCAGGAAAAGACGGGAAAATCTGGGAAGTGGGGGGGAAGACAGAAACACCCAGACGATCTGGGAAACTATGGGGGAATCTTGTGATTTGTGCGTATCTATTCGTGTGTCCTGGGGCCCCTTCGCTCACTCCTCTCGTCCGAGGTATCCGTGGGCGCGCGGCGGCCCCAGCGCGGGCGTTCCAGGTTGAACGATCCACGCGGTGCCAGAAACCAATGTCTTTCTGTACGAACGAGATGGGTACACTGTACCAATTTTTTCCGTACCCATTTCGGGCGTCCAAATTCTGGAGGGGCCGGCTCGTTGCGGACAAGTAGACATGCAGTATTGCAGACTGCAGGACATACGTCGGTGGTTCCAGCTTCTTCTGATAAGTTGAAACAGGAGCTGGGCAGGCCTTGGGATCTCGCGGAGGTCAGCCAGGACCGTGCCGTCTTCGGCGGCAAGTCAATGAAGACCTCTATACCCTCGCAATTCCGCTTTTCGAGCGCACTGTCCTCGGTCAGCATCTGGTCATCGATGAGACAGTGCCGGTTTCTCGTCGCTTGTCGCCTCTTCGCAAGAGCCGACCAGATGGTACGACATGCTCCCATGAGCTGCCGCAGAAGCGCCATCTCCTCGCCTGCGCGCGGTTGCCCCGGCCGCGCAGCTCGTCGGGCCCTTGGCGGGCGCGGGGCCGCCGCGGGGTTGCCGGGGGCGCCGCGCCATGCGCGGCCCCATGCCGCACGGCAAGGAGCTGCTCGCGTGGCCGGCGGCCAAGGTACACCTGTACACGCTCGAGGTCGGCGGCAGCGCAAAGGAGGGGGAGGAGGAGGAGGAGGAGGAGGAGGAGGAGGAGGAGGAGGAGGAGGAGGAGGAGGAGGAGAAGAACGCATGTATGTCTATGTATGTATGCATGCACGATTGTATCTGTGTCCACGGATGTGTGCGTAGCAGAGGAAGCAAGAGAGACCACATGGCCCAACGAAGGGCCCGCCCCTCTGCAGCTGCGTGTGGCGCAGGGCGCGGCTCTCTCTTCAAATACTGCGCGACGCGGTGTAGACTGGAAAGAGAGTCGCTGCGGAGCAAGCGCGTGTGGGCACGCTGAGCTCCCTGTGGGGCGCGATCCGCGTGAAGGGCGTGCGCGCCGCCCGAGCGCCCACTGAGGCCGTAGGTGGAGCTCCTTGTGGAGCGCGAGCCGCGTGCAGCGGCGCTGAGACGGTAGTGGGGACGCCATTCGAAATTGCCCATGGGTGCCATGGATGGAGATCCTTGCGGGGTACGATCCGCGTCAGGGGTGTGCCGAGATGTGCAGAGGGACGCCATGCGACCCTCTTGTTGGAACCGTCGGTGGAGCTCCCTATGGGGCGCGATCCGTGTGAGGTGTGTGCCGAAATGGGCATGAAGACGCGATGCGAACCTTTTCTCTGGGGCCGTCGGTGGAGCTCCCTTTGGGCCACGATCCCTGCCGGGGCGGTGGAGAACAGCTGCTCGTATGTTCCTGGAGACCTTAGGGAACATCTGGGCGGATAATAATAAACATATCGTTATTATTAATTATTGATAACAATAACAATACGAATACTATGATAATGCTAAGAAGAAAACGGAAGAGGCGAAGGAGGAGGAGTAGGAGGAGGAGGATGAGTAGGAGGAGGATGAGGGAGGACAAGGAGTAGCTGCAAACGGAGGGGAGGAGGAGGAGGAGGAGGAGGAGGAGGAGTAGGAGGAGGAGGAGGAGGAAGCCCCCGGAGGACTGAGGATGGATAGGAGAATCAGGACATGGGCAGAAGAAAACGGCGGAGAAAGATGAGGAATACCAGGAGGAAGAGGACGAAGAGGAGTGAACATGGAGTAACGAGGAAGAGGGAATGATGAGGGAGAGCAGGAGCAGGAGCAGGAGCACGAGGATGAGGAAGACGAGGAAGATGAGGAGGAGGAGGAGGAGGAGGAGGAGGAGGAGGAGGAGGGGGAGGACGAGGAGGAGGAGGACGATGACGAGGGAGGGGGAGGGGGCCGAGGCGGGTGGAGACTCTGCAACTCCCGCATGCAGCGGACTTCGCGATGCCGCCGATCAGACAAACGAAAGCGAGAGCTGTACATCGGGGCGCAGCTGTGACTATAACCTGAGCGCGCGAAGCGCGCGCGTGGTTCTAGTATATGTATATATAAGTGGATGAAGAGCGAGAGAGAGAGAGAGAGAGAGAGAGAGAAAGAGAAAGAGAGAGAGAGAGAGACGCGGGAGAGGGAGGGATACATAGAGAGAGAGGGGGACAGAGAGAGAGAGAGAGAGGGAGAGAGAGAGAGAGAAAAACAGAGAGAGAGAGAGAGAGAGTGAAAGAGAGAGGGGGTTCATATCCATATATGTGTATATAATCACAGAGAGAGAACAACATAGATAAAGAGAACGAGCGAGAGAGCGAGCGAGAGAGACAAACAGAGAAAGAGAACGAGAGAGCGTGCCAGTGGATGCCCCAGCCATCTGAAAGGGGGGGGTTCTCCACAGAACTCTCTCTCTCTCTCTCTCTTCCCCCTCCACCATCCAGGGGGCTTTTTTTTCCATCCCCCACCCCCCCCCCCCACCCGACTCCGCTCCGTCCCCCCTCTCCATCCTTTCATTGTGCTGGCGAAGGGAATTGGGGGTGGGGGGGGCGGTCGCGTCCCTCCCCGCTCCCCCCTTTGGCAGCTGAGGGGTCAGGAGGAAGACGACCCAAGTGCGTCGGAAGGGGTGTCGTGGGTTAGGGTGAGGGTGTTAGGGTGTAGGGTGAGCGTACAGGGTTGGGGTTCGAACTAGGGGTAGGGTTCGAGTGTATGGTTTAAGGTGTTAGGGTTTAGGGTAAGTGCTGAGGGTTATTGGATTAGGGGATTAGGGGGTCAGGGATTTCGGTTTCCAGTTCTGGTCAGTGCGTGTGGTTAGTGCTTATGGTTTCAGGGGGCTAGGGTCAGGGTCTTAGGATGAGTTTCAATGCTTACGGTGAGGCTGTCAGTCTGGGTTGTGCTGGTCGGGGTTGGGGGTGTCAGGGCTTAGGGTTGGTGCACCAGGTGAGGGTTAGGGTTTAGGGTTTTGGCTCTACGCCTCTGATGGGCTCACTGAGAAGACGGCAACGTTATGCGAGCGGGCTCGCACGGGATGGCTGAGGGTCCCAAGTCCTCAACGCTGAGGGTCCCGAGCCCTCAGCCATTTCGTGCGTGCCCGCCCGCATGGGGTGGCCAAGGGTCCCGAACCCTCAGCCACTTCGTGCGTGACCGCTCGCATAAGGTCGCCGTTCTCTTGCCTTGGACCTGAGCGGGGTAGGGGGTGTTCGGATTTAATGGTGTGAGGGTTTCGGATTCCATCGCCGTGACAATAATATTATGTGGTCTGCGTGCAGGATGCCTGACGACTGGCGGAGTAGGCGAGAGTGGGCGAAGTAGAACTGATTCTGCGCGGAGACGCATCCCGCC